GGTGTGTGGCCCCACAGGACGCGTGTCGTGCGTCGGATACGGTTTACGCCAGCGTGAAATCAACCGACTGATTGTAAACGTTTTCCATGAAGAAAACGCTAAGGCCCTGTTTGCTTCAAAGGAGTTTCATGGAATCGTACAGGTAGCGGTTTCCCGTGGGAAAGTTTCCTTTCAGCCTGTTCGCTTCATAGGAATGACATTCTCAGTTCCTCCAAAAAGGTGTCTTATCCTTTGCTTTTCACGGGAAAATAAACATTCACCAAGATTTCATGCTTTCGCGAATGGCCGAAGCGAAGCGCAGGTTTCAGACTAAACAAATTAATATACAACCAATAAACAACTCCATGGTGGGTCATAGGCTGGAGGTTCTTTGCATGCAGATGCAGCTGAATAAAAATTTATGAACAGTACACTTCAATCAAGTTTCCGTGGGCACTTGATGTGCTCTCTCAGAACGCACGCCTTTTACCTTTTCCTCTGTTTTATACCCTCCCATGTTTTAGAATTGCGTCTTTCTCCAATCTTGCAACTTTTCCAATCCTCTTGTTTAGGTTCCTATGTCCCGAACGGGGCCTAAAGGCTATCAGGATAGCGAGGGGCGGCGGCTTGCTAGTGGTGTCCCCTATGTCGAACGTCGAAGCTCAGTGCATCTTGCTCGCACCCTTGAGACGAGCTCCCCCACGTGTCCACTAGTAGCTTCCATAGCTGCAAGAAAGACACCCGTTTGTATAACAGATCAACTGGATGTCTGATGAGTTGTCCCTCTATCAAAGCTTTATTCCTCGTCACGATCCGCCTATCCCTCCCATTAGTGGATGATACCAACCAATAGAACTCTGAGAACCCACTCGGATTCCATGAGGAGCATGCTACTGTCCGTACAGCGCTCCACACAAATTGGGCCATAATGCATTGAAATAAGATGTGATCAAGATCATCACATTCCCCACACCAGATGCATTTACCATCGCCCCGACCTTTTCTTTTATACACTTCGTCACCACTCGTGATTCTATTGCGTGCCACTTGCCATAGAAAGATTTTTATTTTGGCAAGTAACCTTGCCTTCCATACCCCGGATAGGTCACAAGGGGTTACAAATTTGAAGATCTCCTTCTATAAAGAGCCTATATAAAATTGGCCGGATGGCTCCAAAACGCCAAACTACCTCGTCGGTTCCCTGACTAAGCTGGTGCCCTCGAAGTTTTATACATAGGTTTCCCACTCTATGACTTCTGCGTCCCCAAGGATCGGCGGAACTATGGTGCCCATTGGCCATGTTGCCATTGTTGGGAAACGTTGTGTGGGAAACAAAAAATTTCCTACGCTCACCAAGATCAATCTAGGAGATTACCATCTACGAGAGGAGAGATTGAATCTACATACCCTTGTAGATCGCTAAGCAGAAACGTTGAGAAACGTGGTAGATGTAGTCGGATGTCTTCGCGATCCAATCATGATCTGTCACGCGAACTCCCGATCCAAGTGTCAAACGAACAGCACCTCCGCGTTCCACACACGTATG